TAATTTTTTCACTTTTCAATACCTCAGGTCTCTTAACAGTATGTCCACAGGAAGGCACGAAAGTACGGGCTGAACAAGTTCCGGGCTCCTGCTGGCCCAAATAACGGCCCTGGCTCGGCTGCACCCAGAGGACAAGGAAGAGGCCGAGAGGGAGAGGGTAGAGAAAGAGGCCGAGAAGCAGAAGGAAGAGAAAGGCATTGATGAAGGGTACAAGACCGCACTACTGGCCGCCGACTGTTTCGGTTGTGTATTTTCCGGGATTCGATAAATCGAGTCAGATTGTGGTTCAAGACGTAAGACTATATTCCAAAACACTGTTCCTGCTGGCTCCACACACACACCCTTACTCTAAGCGTTCCTCCAGGCGACTGCCCGGCCGCCCGTCACTCGGCTCGGCTGTCGCCCTGTTCGGCTTCCGCGGTCCGCGGCTGATCAGTAGCGGTAGGGTTTTCTATTAGGGTCAGCAGTTATGCCGCGCGCCGCGCGACGCCGCTTCCCCCAAATCGTCTTGTCTCCCGCAACACGACGCACTCCAGAACCCTAAGCCCTTAAACAAGCTTTTGAGATATTTCAAATAGCAGTGGCTAGCGATGCCGAGAGCTGAGTTCAGCGTGTTCAACAAGACGATCTCTGCTAGTCCTTTCCCAGCAATGTTGACCATCCCTGTGGTGGCATCGCTCCACTGAAAAGGCTACAGTTGCTTTGCTATGGAGGTGTTTGTCCCAAACGGCAGAAGATCAATTTGACGCTTTCACCATCCCGTGCCCCACACACTCATGTTCAACTCAAACGCAGGTTTGTGAGGCTGCTGATGACGAAAATAGGACCCATTCGGACCCCCGACCCAAAGTTAAAGTCCCGTTAAGGTAGATATGGACGACCAAATGCTATGTTTAGAAGGGATCACGTCCATTTCTACGGTCTGCTTCGGAAAGAAGCCTGCCGAAGGCAGGCTAGCGCCGCTGGCCAAGGCAGGTGTGAACGCCATGGGTGGATTGTCGAAACTGGCGCGGCATCGCGAACTCAAAGCCTGTTACGACAAGGCACGGTCTGGCGTACACCTACCTTGTGCATCTGTTATTAGTCGTGATGTCCGCGTAAAGTGCATGGCCGAGGGGCGGTCGGCGATGTCTCGAAGCTTTTCCGGTTGCAAGTTTTATTGGCTTAGCGATAGCGAAGCCCGTTACTCCAGTGCAGTTTAAAAGTTTTGTACGTGTGTGTCTGTGTGTTCATGACTCCGAACGGCTCGGCCGATCTGGCTGAGATTTTGAAGAGTCATTGATTGGGTATGTCCTTGGCTCGCCATACGTCTAATTCAGCCTTATGTCTCAACCCATTCAGCAAACTCAACAAAAAAAGCTTTTAAATCAGCAAAACAAGGCAACTTTTCAGTGCCTTTTTCTTTGTACCAGGTTTAACATCGTTTCTTAGTAACGGCAAGCCACTGTCTTGCGTACCGTACACACGTACCTTGTGAATATCATGCCCAAAAAACTTTTTACGGATGCACCGTCGGCTGAATCAGTTTTGATGAGTAGTCCTTTTCTGGTGCAAATAAGGTGATATAGTTCGAAGGAAGATATTCAGTACCTTCCGTGTTATGTCGGATCAGAGTTACTCAGCATCATGTTGGTAAAGTGCTTTAGGAAACTGCACTCCTCCAACAGAACTGCTCTGCAATCTTCACACTCAATATTTTTCGGGAAATCCATAACAAGTGGAGCAACAGTTGTGCAAATCTCAGCATCCTGTAGGTCTGTTCTGTTTCAAGACCCTCCTCTTCCACCATTTCTTCTTCAATTATTTCTTCTTCAAGTTGTTTCATGCAGTTGGCTAGCTCTACTTCCTACACACACAGGCAGAAGTATGGCCCGTTGAGGTGCAAAAGGCTGACAAACTCTTCATCGCTGCAATTTCTGCCTTTCTTTTGGAAGGTGAGTTGGTTGATTACGGGGGCATACCAGTGAAGGAGCTGGTGGAGGGCGACTCGAATATCTGTGTGGAGATGCCTCAGGGACTGTGCGACCACATGCACTATAATTATTCATGCGAGTGTCCCTGTGCACCTGATGGGCCAAAGAGTAGGAATCGTCAACATGCTGAAAAAAAGGATCAATCAAATATGAGAAGTTTATTTGCAAACCATGACAAAAAGGAAACGTATGTCTCCAAGAAAGTTGTGGATACACAAAGGAATGCCACAAGACATTGCAGGTAAAAATAGTTGAAAGACATTGTTGATAACATTGACAGAATTGACTGGATGACTGAATACGGGATGAGATGCTGGACTGGGAGAACAAATAACAGAGTATTTTAAAATAATCAATCACCTTTATAGCTGGTGGAGAGCGACTCGGATATCTGTGTGGAGATGCCTCAGGGACTGTGAGACTATATACACCATAATTATTCATGCGAGTGTCCCTTTGCACCTGATGGGCTAAAGAGTTGGAATCGTCAACATGCTGAAAAAAAAAATAATTCAATTGTAAAAAGTTCAGTGGCCATTCACCACAAAATGGAAAAGTATACCTCAAAGACAATACATTGCAGATAACCATGGTTAAAACTGGCGGTCCTGTTTAATAAATCCTATCATAAGGGGGCACACCAGTGAGAATGCAGAGGGTGCGTAAAACTATCATTCTGTGAAAAGTAAAGAATGTATCGGCTTGATACACTGCAAGAAAAAGTGTGGATAGTACAACTTAAGTGCAACAAAAGGGGGCACACCAGTGAGAATGCAGAGGGTGCGTAAAACTATCATTCTGTGAAAAGTAACGAATGTATCGGCTTGATACACTGCAAGAAAAAGTGTGGATACTACAACAAAAGTGCATCAAAAACTGTACCATAAAAGTATAACAGGGATTGTATAAAGTACAACGAGAATTATACAAACCACAACGAGGCCGGGACTGCCCAGCACTCATAATGCCGGTTCCATTCCCAAAGAACAGAAAATAGTCACATTGACATCAAGTGACTGAAAAATGACAAAATTTAGTCACTCTCAAGCTCTCAGCGAGCGTCGCGAGTGACATAAATATACATAAATAAATTTACATGACTAAACTCAAATTATAAGGAAACTTAAAAAAAAAACCTCTGCTTCAGTCCTCATTTATATGTAAGTATATTTGACTCTCTTTCTCTACCATTTTTTTATCTTATTTCAGACACATTTGTTACATCTTTTATAGGCTGAGACTGTTTGATAAGACAGGTTTTCAGGGATCCCCTTAACTTAACATTTAACTAACACTGCTTTCATAACGTAACATAAGACGATGTTCGCTAAACGTTAAGGGTACGGACTTATGAAAGTACTTGCAAAAGTATATCCACACAAATTCGATACATAAAAAAATAACCCACCCTTTTGAAAAGATGTTAGAAGTTAGGGTAATAATTTTAACTCTTATGATAACGTTATGATGCCCTTATGTGGTAAGTTAAGGATCCCTGCAGGTTTTCCCATTGATTACCCTTTGCACCAATTTGAAAGACTTTGGAATAGGAAACATAGGAACAGATTGGGCAGCAAGCGCCAAGGTTTCTAGGCCAGAAAAGGTTGAATTTCCTGCTTCGTTGACTGGCGTAACTACTGAAGGGTAAGTGTTCCCTGGCTTGATGACAGGTGCAACCACTGGAACACACACACACACATAACAAAATATGAGAAGTCAAACTCCAGCACGAGGGGGTAAACACTTGCGTAATACCCTGTACACAAAAGTCGGGTATTACGCCGTAATACGCGTAACAGTAATACATTTTGGGACCAAAAGTATCTAAAAATGTCATTTTTCAATGAAATCGAGGGGTAATACATGCGTAATACAAGTGTAATACCCTGTAATAGGGAGTAGTCTGTACAAGGTTCACCGGAGTGTTTACCCCCTCGCTCCAGCACATAATCCTAGACAATCTACGTATCACTTCAGTGCCTCACCTGTCTTCAATGAAACAGAAGAACCAAATACATTCTGGCTGCCAGAGGCACTTTTCCTCTGAAATGGCACAGGACAATTGTTCCCTGACCTGATGACCACTAAAAAATACACACAACAACAAAGTATGAGAAGTCAAACACCACCGCATCAGGCGAGCATATCAACCACAATTTATCTATTTTGCGCCCCAGTGCCTCTCGGACGGTCTTCGGCCTTGGTCCCAGGGTGTATTCTTTAGTTAAAAGTATCTTCCTATGCTGCAACACACGGCAAAGTAGCAGAGATCCTTAACTTAACATTTAACTAACACTGCGTTCATAACGTAACATAAAACAATGTTCGCTAAAGGTTATTGGTACGGACTTTTGGAAGTCCGAGGATCCTGTACCACCAGATGGTGAGATAAAATCTCAATGTGAGCACACTCCCAACTAGGGCACAAGCTACCCCGTCGCTCTCGACGAAAACTCCACTTACATCCCGACCCGGACACGGGACCAGGCCGGGAACGGAAGAGGCAACTTCCAGCCCAACTACGCCGGCGGGGCCGCACCAGGGGGCTATCCCCGACATAAAGCCGAGGCCTTTCCCTGGCAACGACCCCGGGCCCCCATACACAAAGGGGCCCGCCGGTACCCGGTTCCACTGGCCAGATGGAAAAGACTGTCTCCCGGATCCCAAGCCTGAGAACAGCCCCCGAGACCCCGACACCACAATGATGCCGAGAGTCCCGCCGGGAAAGCCGTGAAACGGCAAAGGTTGGAACGTCCACCAACAGGACACGGAGGATCTTCTTGAACCACTTGACCCACGACGGCAATCGAGCGACCATCGAGCAGCCCTCTTCTAGCTGTAGCCGGGCGTCTTCCAAAACTCGAAAGCAGTGTCCTCAAGTCCAAACGCCCGAAGCAGTCGCCAACTTCAGTTCTTCACAGACGCACTCCAACCATGTCAACAGACAGCTGCGAGGCACCGCCTGCTCGCAATCAGCACTCTGACGCCTCGGAAATAGTCGGGTCCACATAACCTGCAACGGGAGAACCAAGCATGAGTCGAACCGGCCATGAAAGCACCGCCTCCTACGACTAACCGGAAACAACCGGCCGCCATCTTGTCCTTGCCCGCCATCTTATATCAAAGTCAAACTTGAATCTAAACCCAGCTCAGCTACCAAATCGGAAATCGGAAAACATCTGCAAAAATGGCCCCCAGAACTTGGATTGCTCATAAAGGAACCAACGAAAAGGACTCTGCCCACGAATTAAAGGATGGAAAGGTAAAGAAAACTTACCAAATACCCAAAACCAGCCACCACAAAGAATGGGCCAGGGAATCGCCACTTCAGCCAAAGGACACTCTCAAAATGAACACGGATCGGATTACGCCACTGAAACAGAATAACAAGCAAATTAAACAAACCAAAACATCGCCACTAGCAAAACTATTTGAAAAAGAGGAGGAGAAAGAAAGAAAAGTAAGACAGAGGCAACACCAAGAGCTACTTAGAAAGAAAAAACGAGACGCAGAATTTAGAAGAGAACAGCTCGAGCAAAGAGAAAAAATCAGAAAACAAAAGATCCAAGCTCAACGAGAACGAGAAGCCAGAGAAAGAAAAGAATATGCAGAAAAACTCAGGAAAGAAGAAGAGGCTCTAAACTGGTTCGAAGACCCAGGGTATACAAATTTGCTAGGAGCATGGGACTCAACTTCAGAATCAGAAATTGAAGTTATAAATTTGGAAGAAAATGATTCAGACATTGAGGAGATCTACTGCACAAGCCCCAAAATAGTACAGACTAATGAAAAGGATCCAGAGTACGTAAAGCAAGTGTTGGAATGCATGAGAGCCCAAGAAAAAGAAATGATGAAAGAAATAACGGCACTGGAATTTGAAATACAAGGCAGTGGCGAAGCGGAAAAAAGGGATAAGTCGAAAAACACGATTTTTCAGGAGAGGCGAAAAACATGTTCCCGTATAATATTCTATACTTCGGGTGCGCCATCTTGTTCGCTTTGCAATGCTGATCAACATAGAAAAAGTCATTTCAACAAAGCGTTAATGGTTTTGTAGATATGTCAAGACTCTGACTTATCTCGTTTGGTCGCGCCTGTCAAAAGGAGACAAGTCGACTTGTCCCACTGCCCACTCACGCACCCTACGAGTTATTTCGACTTATCTTTCCGGACCTGAGAGCACTTGGAGCTATGTCGACTTATCCACTGCGCATTCACGCGCTGAAAGAGTTAAGTCGACTTAACTCTCTGAAGCTTAAGGTTTTTAGGGACATGTCGACTTGTCCCTTGTACACTCATGCACTCTATGAGCTAAGTTGACTTATCTCTCGGGTGTTTTTCCCCGTTGGGGTTATGTCGATTTGTCCCCTTTAGCAAATTAAATTGTTTAAAAGATTAGGAGATAAGTCGCGTGTGTTTTGGGTACGAGGAACTAGAAGCAATTCGTTAGAGGAAAACAATGCTCCTCAATTTTAGTCAAAGATTACCGTGTGTTTATTAAAATAATTCTAAGTACTGCAATGCGAAAGAGTGACAGTTCACCTGCCAAAAAGAAGGAAAAAACAAGCTGAACGTGACACATTTTTTAAAATTAAATTGTCTAACATAATGCATTATTGAACATGGCTTATATTTAGATATTGCAAAGACACTGCAAAGCCAGTGGTAAGTTTGCTTGCCACAAATTTGGCAAGCCGTTTTGAATGCCAAAATTTGGCAAGCTTTGGTCGGCACTCGTCAGAAGCTTGCCAAATTTTGGCAAGCTGGGGAGTAATTCCGGGCGAAGCTTGCCAAATTTTGGCAAGCTGGGGAGTATTTCCGGGCCAAGCTTACCAATTTTTGGCATTCAAAACGGCTTGCCAGATCCGTGGCAAGTAAACTTACTACTGGGATGGCAGTGTAACCTGCAGACTTATGCATTCAATCAACTAACTTAGAAGTATGTGTATTTTCTGGGGCACGCAAGCCTTGTGTTTAGTATCAATTTCCTTCTTACACCACAAGGCTGCGCAGATGGCCAATCACATTTAAAAATAGAAATATAGTACTCTTTAAAAAGTTGTTGCCGGTACTGGGGTGGGGGGACTCGGCGCAGCGTTCTGTCGCGGTAGCAGCCGCCGTGCGCCGTAATTTGACACTGCGAGATACGCCCGCCGCGCGCCGCGCTCTCCCGCCCGGCCGGGCTGCTCGGTGCGTGTCTGAGTGTCACCAGTTTGTCCGACAGGCCAGCAGGCGGGGAGACCGGGTCGAGAGTCTCTAGGTCGTCTATCTGGTATGGGTCTGGAGCCATGTAATTATGTTTTATTTAATTTATGATAGTTTTGGGTTTTACTTTGCCCTTTTGTGTTAGTTTAAACTTTGTAAAAAATAGACTGTTACACCAATTTGAACAAATTTCATTGCCATCGAATGTTGTTGATTTCGGTGAGGACTGCCTGCTGGCCTGGCCGGGGGAAATAAGGGACCGGTCCCCAGTGGCCGCGTCCCCCTCGCCACTCCACCCGCCGCGCTTCGCCTGGCCGTCCTGACGGCGCTCTCGGTGCGTGTCTGCGTGTCGCCAGTGTGTCAAACTGTCTTCCGATTCATACCGCACCGCTCAGCATTTCGCGTCTCGAGACCAGCTTGCCGGGCCTGCAGGGCCACGGCTGCCGGCCGCGCGTATAGTGGAAGCGCGTACCGAATTGAAGACCAAAACGAGAATTTGATTTAGGTGGTAACAAGGTGGCTTCTAGTCAAGTTATTAATGTTCAATACAGTTGATTACAGCTCAACAGAGAAATTTTGTTCAAGCGCCTACCTCTATTTTCCTCGGGCAGTCACCGCGTTAAAAATTATATTTTTATTTTTTTAAAAATAAGACGTGAAAAAACCCGGCGGGCGCGGAAGCCACAGCCGTGGCGCGTTTTTCCCCCGCCCGCTTGATGACGGGGCCCCTGACTGAGTGTTGTGACGGCCGTATCGCGACACGCGAGACTCAAAGGGTTGCCGCGCAGGCCCTGAAGAGGGAGTAAAGAGGAACAGGCACGGAGGCAGGGCAGGAAGAACGGAGACGGAGAGGAGACAAACGGAGAGAAACAGGCGCGACAAGCAGGTAGAACAAACGTGCATGATTAGGTCCTTTCTTTGGGCCCTGGTAATAACTTCAAATAATTAGTACACCTGGTGTGAACGCTCATTACATTTATTAAGTTTTGTTAATTACGTTGACGACCGCCAGGTGAACTAGTGGGAACCCCGAGCAAAGTGCATCATCAAGTCTGACACTGCGATGCACCATGCACCTGGTTTTCCCTCCGGCATACGCCTCGCGCCTTCGTCCAGCCGCAGCCCTGGCCAGGGACGGGACGCGAAAGCTGAGCGGTGCGGTAAAGAATCGGAAGACAGTTTGACACTGGCGACACGCAGACACGCACCGAGAGCGCCGTCAGGACGGCCAGGGCGGGCGGAGGGTGGAGGTGGAGTGGCGCGGGGGACGGGAGCACCGGGGGGGCCGATCCCTTATTCCCCCGGCCAGGCCAGCAGGCGGGGAGACCTCTGGACGTTGAGGTTCACGGTTCGGTGAAATTACGGCGCATCGTTACAGGTATCGACGTGAAAATTGGAGACGCGTTACAGAACAAGATTACCTAAAGGGCGGTGGTCGCCAAATTTCCATACCTTGCGCACAGCCGCTCTGAATGCGGCTTAACTTCATTCAAAATTTCAAAGCTAGAAATTTAACGCATCAAATTTTCCGGAGAAAATCTGACCCGACCGTAGGCGAGGATGACTCTTAAGGAAGGCACGTGCAAAGTTTCGGAATTTTTGGTCACGGCGTTTGCGAGAAAACAAAATTTACGTATCGGTCTACATCGCCTCCCGAGGCGGCGCGCTAATTCCAGCGCGCTCGGCAAGGCTCACTTTAGCCTCCTCTCCGCGATGCGCGCGGTCAGCGACGCCAACTCTGCGGCACGCGCCGCGTGCCTCGGCTACTCACGGCCAGCAGCCCAAGCCAGCCGGCAAGCAGGCCTCGGGGCGCGAAACGCTGAGCTGGGGAGAATGAATCGGAGGACAGCCCGACAGACCAGTGTCACGCGGACATGCACCGAGAGCGCCGACAGGACGGCCGGGCGAAGCGCGGCGGGTGGAGTGGCGAGGGGGACGCGGCCACTGGGGACCGGTCCCTTATTTCCCCCGGCCAAAAATCCGTGGTGAGGCTCAACCTGCGGAGTCCTAAAAGTACTGCAACAGCGGTGAAGATTTGACCGCACATTTCTACACTGTTAGAAACTAGGGGTACGCGCCGTTTTGTTTGGGCGCGTAGTAGGCGAGCGATGCGTCTGTATTCTTGTAGAAGATGGTGAAGAATATATGCCCAAAATAAGGCCAATACAGGGTCAAAGTGAAAATCAATTTTTAAAAATTTGGTCTGGTAAATTTTGGGGAAAGTAAAGGTCTGGGATGAAATTGGAAGTCATTTTTTGTGATCAGCACACCAAAAAATGCAGGAAACTATGTAAAACTCGATGTAAAAATTTTTGGGCCGAAATTGGTCAATATTTGGAAAAGTAAAGGTCTGAGATGAAATTGGAAGTCATTTTCGTGATCAGCACCCCTAAACTGCAGGAAACTATGTAAAAATCGATGTAAAAAATTTTTGGGCCGAAAACGGTCAATATTTGGAAAAGTAAAGGTCTGAGATGAAATTTGGAAATCATTTTCGTGATCAGCACACCAAAAACTGCAGGAAACTATGTAAAACTCGATGTAAAAATTTTGGTCCAAAATTGGAAAATATTTGGAAAAGTAAAGGTCTGGGATAAAATTTGGAAAGTCATTTTTGTGATCAGCACCCCAAAATACTGCAGGAAGCAATGAAACACCGAGGAAATTTTGGTCCTAAATCATGTATGTAATTCTAGTTAAAAGTATGGGTTTCCCAGTTGTTAGGTTTTTTAAGAGCGTTTCCTGTTCATGGTGTCGCACCATAAACCCTGCCCCTGTTACTCAGTCGAGTAACTTTTAAACAGCCAGCATTGAATTGTTTAATACGATTCCAAATACTTCAATTACCATTCGATATCTCCTTGTTACTGAAGTTATGAATACGCAATGTTATTAGAAATACCTAAAAAGCCTTTCTCCCTTTTAGTTTAAACTAGTGGATTAAACTATATTGATTTATTGGCTGAGCGATAGCGAAGCCTGTTACTCCAGTGGGGTTGAAAAGTTTTGTCTGTCTGTCGGTCTGTCTGTCTGTCTGTCTGTCGGTCTGTCTGTCTGTCCGCACTACTCCTCCTGAACGGCTCGGCCGATCCGGGTGAGATTTTGCACACTTCTTGGGTATGTCCTTGGCTCGGCACACGCGAAATTTCACCATCCTAGCTCAACTGGTTCAGTTTTTATAGGCGAAAAACACCTAAAAAACGGCGAAAAATAGAGATTTCTGCAGATAGACCATTTCTGTCTTGGAGAAAGGGGGGTCTGGGGGGCGGAGCCCCTCAGCCTCGACAAGTTAAAAAGTGACAAGGGTCAAGATCGTGTTATCTGTAGATAAAACAACTCTATTTACAATGTAGGGGGGTCTGGGGGGCGGAACAAGTTAGAAAATAACCGACAACGGACCAGCCATTGCCTGCCGCAGGCAGGCTAGCGCCGCAGGCCAAGGTAGGTACGCCAGGCGTGGATTGGAGGAACAGGCAGCGAGACATCGCGAAGCCTGTTACGACAAGACGCGGTCTGGCGTAAACCTACCTTGTCTGCATTAATTAAAAAGAGACATATTTACAGGCAGGCTGATTTCAACTGCTTTACGGAGAAGACCTTCTGTCAGATCCAATGAATCGTTTCATAGAATCCAATGTCGAGGCCACTTATTGCTAAACGCAAATTTATCTTATTCATAATGATAGTCATGGTGTGTTATTTAATCTTTGAAACAGTTTGCAAAAGTATGTACCTAACATTCTGAGAAAATTTTAAAAAAAAAAAGCCAACTAAAACCCAAAATGACCAACACAAATTACCAGTTGTCGCAGACAATGTATGATTAAGTTAAAAGAATCGTCTGAAATCATATGACCAAGTCAGTGAATCGTCTCATTGAATCTGATGTCAATGTCAAACCTTGAATGCGCTACACTCACTCATCATATGGTTTTTTTTAAGGTTAGTACTATAGTAAACTCACAGCATTGCAATGAACCCTTTTTCCCAGAATCAGTGCCAAGAGTCAGCAAAGACTATTTATTTTGGCAAGATTAGCATCGGGTTTTGTACTCATAGAATGTATTAAATATTTTTAAGTGTTATTGAGCAAAGCAAACAACTAAAAAATATAGTGTCTCAGAATAAAATTTGGAAATACACTCACAAAGGTTAAAAAGCCCAAAATCATTCTTGCAATTATAAAACACACTCCACTGACTAAAACATTCCCCTGTAGCGGGGGAGGGGAGGGGGTGGACGGACGGACAAAACGCGTAATAATTGTCACTTTCTTTTTTCCGTTTTCACTGAGTTGACACTCCGGAGGGGTTTCAATCATTCTAAAATATCAAAAAACTATGACCGAACTCACTTCTAAGCCCTTCTGCTCTTTAGTTTGTTTTATTTGCCAATGTTTTGCCAGGTCCCGTATTTGAGAGTCGCGGCCGCAAGTATGAAAAATTGCTACGAGCCGCCAACCACTGCCAACCTAACCACGCAAGAACCTAATTAAAAAAGATGTTTTGAATATTTCAAACAATAGTAATCGTGAATATAAGATAAACCCCCCCGGGGGGAGATTTAGGAGCCTTCCGGTGCGAAATTTTAAAACTATTTGTGCGGTAGTTGCTGAGAAACGTGAGTGAGTTACAGACAGACAGACGCACGACCAGTCACTTTTTGGTACCCCCAAACACGGCATGGGCTCGCTATCGCTCGCCAATTAGCTCCGAAATTTTATGGAGAAAAACTCTATTATGACGTTCATGGAGACTCCATTTATTATCAACCTTTTTTTTCGGAGAGTTTTTTTTCAGGGCTTGAGCAAATGTTCCTCAGCATTATTTTCGTTCCTGATGGGAATTAAAATGCACGTCTTTTCTCAGATATTTGAAAGAGGGCTTCGCCGAAGCATTCTTTGGTCTGAAATGGCAAGAAGGGACAATCTCTTTCGAGCTCCTTTGCGTCCTCGAGATCCTGTAGGCATCCCTCATGAAAACTGAGCTGAACAAAATAGGGGTTTCACCTTTCCCTCTTTTTTTAATTTGGTTGCAAACTTCTTTTTCGTGATCTCCTGATAGAGAAGCAGGCATTCTGGTTCCAAATTCCGAAACTCTTCGGAGAAAGCCCGGGGTTTTCCTTTACGGAGATCTCTTTGCTGAAGTTTAGGAAAAACTACATGATTTTTCCTTTTTTATGGGAAAAATTTCTGACAGTGCTGTTTTTAAAGGGGGGCACACCATGAAATGCAGAGGCTTGTAAAAACGTTATTCTGATAAAGTAACGAATAATGGGTTAAAATTTTATTCTGAAGCAAAAAATATGTAAATTTTAAAAAAAAAAAATACACGGCAGCAAGGGGGGGCGACGGGAAGGGGGGGTGGGCGCCTTTTTCATTTTTCGGTGACACGGCTCCACTTTGCCCAACTTTGTGAAGCCCTCGATTGAGCCGAAACATGGGGTTTTCAAATTTTCATCAGGACACATGTGGCTATCGTGGAACCACGGACATTCGGAAAAACAATCCAAATATGTTTTTTTGAGAAGCAAAAAACGAAACTCATTTTTTGACCATATTTTCCCCGTTTCCGTGTTTTTGGGTCAGGCCCTGTACATGCTACGACCATATCCGAGGTTCACACGATAGCGACAAGTTTAAGAAACATTTTGCCGCAAACCACACTCAATTATCTCAATTTTTGCGCCCGCAATCGTGGGCACCAGGGCCAAAAATGGCGTTTCGAGAAAACGACTTTTAAGTGAAACTACGGTATACTCGCATTATTCCTCATTACGGACGCAAATTTTTGACATTTTTTAGTTCGGTTTGCGCCAAAATATTCCTTTCTCCAACTGCGTTTCGATGGTTCCAGGGTTTTGGCATTGGACTTCAAGTGAAACACCTGAACGTTGACAATTGAGGTAAAATATGCAAAAAAAGTTACCCTTTTAGGAACTTCAAAAATGTGCCCAAGCCCAAAATAATTGGAATTTTGAGGTTGGGTTTGCGGCGTTCGACTCGGGATAAATAGCAGAAAAATATGATAAAATAAAAAGGAGGGCCCAAAAATTTTACGATTTTCACTGGTGTGCCCCCAACGCAGAATTTGGGGAAAATTTTGACACTATTTGTGTAAAATTCAGCAGAGTTTTAAGGGTTTTAAAGTGTCGTGGGTTTAGAATTCACTAGAAAACGCGACGTGTACAAACCCCTTTTGAATCCAGCGATGACTGCAGATTGTGACCGTGAACTGAACGAAATTGTGGTATACAGAAAGTCCTGACCAAACCACCGGCAGACCCTTTTATTGGCCAGCGCCGCACTCGGCCCTCGACACTGCTTATTCTGCACTTGGTGTCGCGTTCCGTCCGCGGCTGGCTGCTGCACGGTAAAAAACGGAACCTGGTTTTCCCAGGAAGCCTATGGTGAAGACATAAGCGTTTCCAGAGAGTCCCTGGGAAAAACAGGTTCCCTTTTTTTCTGTGTGGGGAAAGAAAAACGCCCCTAACACGAGGCTCGGTAGGGACTGCAGAGGCCACATCCACCGGGGATTGTTTTTTTTGTTTTTTTTTTTTTTAAGTCGAATTTGCTGACAAACAAATGCAATTTTCTAAATGAGCTCTATGAGCAGGGGAGAGTCACAGCTAGCCGAGTCGGTTGAAACCACCGAACCGCCATTAAAATTAAAAAAACGAACGTGTCCTCTTTACGCTACTTTTAAAAATCTAAACCCCCGTTTTCGTTCTACAAGATACCTGATCGGCCATTTTCAAGAATCGAAACTATTTTTCCCTACTTCTTCCTAGGAATGAATTCGTTGGTATGAGCATGAGTCTTGCATCGACCGAACCCGAATCGAACCCCGGGGAAAGGTTTAGCCACCGACCAGCTTGCTTCGGCAATTGCCATTAGCAATCGTCACCAAATCGTTCGGTACGCCTCATTGTTGCACGGAATAAAGTTTGCAAGGCCACAGATGAATGTTTACAACGAAAAGAAAAACCTGTCTCTGCCGGGAATCGAAGCCGGTCCCTTGGACTCAGAGCCAGAATCGGAGAACGACGTCTCTCTCTTGCATGACAGGAGCGTCCGTCTGTGCCAACGATAGATAACAAGTCGACATTGTTCTAGGGAGTTTAGCTCGAAAGAGTTAAATTGCCCGCACAGCGCTTAAGTATGCAGAGGATAAGTAAACATAGCGCCAATTGCTCTCAGGTACTGAGAGATAAGTCGATTTAACTCGTGGAGGGTGTGAATGTGCAATGAGACAAGTAGACTTGTCTCGTTTGGACAGCCGCGTCCAAACGAGATAAGTCAGAATCTTGCTACATCTACAAAAACGTCAACATTTTGACGAAATAAATCGTTCTATAATGATCTGCATGACGTAAGAATCTAAAAAGCTTAGTAAAAGTATCAAATTTGGTACAGGGACGTGCTTTTTTTACATTCCTGAGGTTGTGTCATTCGACTTATCCCCCTTTGCCGCTTTTTATGTCGTCCAAAGGAGTTAAGTCGATTGTCTCCATGCAGTCAGTGCGGAAAAAAGAGATAAGTCGACTTAACTACAGGGCCTCTCAATCCATGCTGTTAAGTCGACATACCTCCTAAGTGGGGTTATTGCTCTACAAGATAACTCCACTTATCCCCCTTTTTTTAAATTTGGGTTGTGAGCCCAAAATATTTAAACACTAGAAACAAAAAGACTTTTCAAACGATGCGCAAGATCACGCTCTTTCGGATGGTCGTGAAAACCCCATTTCGGAATAAGTCGACTTATCCCCTTTTGCCGCTTCGCCACTGAAGGATTAGAAAAGGTAAACTTACCACAACAAAGATTGCAGGAAGAACAGCCCAAGTCAATGCCCAACATCACCAAACCCATCAGAAACAGTGCCAGAAAGTACCACAGAACCAGCCGAGCCCTCCAATAACAAGCCTCGACAAAAAAGGCACAGACACTGCAACAGAAGGGAAAAGAGGTTAAAAAAAGAAAAGCGCCACAATGAACCAAACAAAAAAGAAAAAAAAATAAGGAAAAATAAAACAATCAGATTTTAACAAGTGCAGACAAAAAGACCACTCCCCAAGGAGTGCAAAAACCAAACCCTTTTAAAACTGAAAAAGGTCTTGGTCCGAAGCGAAGAAGTAAAAAATACTTTAATAACGGTCAACCCAAAACCAGAAGAAAAAAAACCCTCAAACCTGAAACAAAAAAATCAATTAACAACTGAGCAGGGAGCGTCAGGTAGGCCCCTCACATCAACAAGTAAACTACAGTAAAACAACAAAATCCCCAAACCAGAAGAAAAGTAAAAAAAAAGCAAAACTCACCCAAAAAAACCCTTAAAAAAAAAAGAAAAGAAAAGAGGTTAGGATTTTGGGGCATGCAAACAAAAGCCTCAAAACCCATGCAAGTAAAAAAAAAAAAAAAAAAGACAGCAAAAGTAAACAAACTTAGATTTAATAACGATGGACAAACTTAGTTCTAATAGGGATCCCAGTGGGAACCGGCCTTAAGATTGGGGTGAAAAAACAAAAATCCAAAAGCTAAATCGTTCATGAATAAAATTTAAAAAGGGGCAAAAAAAAGAAATGACACCACTCATGAAGATGATAAAATTAAAAAAAGACAAAAAGGGCTTAATGAAGCACAGTACAAACAAAAAAAAGCATAGGTGACATTAGTGAATGAGTAATAGCTTAAGGAAACAGAGGTCAATACAAATTAATGTGATTGAAACTACGAGTACATAAACGGCAGTGACAATCTGGAAGGTGGGCAATCCCAGCCTGTCTCTCCTCTTCATCACGGGGGAATCTGAAGATTGTAATTCCAGCGGGGGGGAAAATCGGAAATGCAAGGGATCGCTTCTAAAAAATCTCCCCTATTAAGGTCGCAGGATTCCCGGGGAAAAAAACCAAAGTCACCCCGGGTTGCCCATAAAGGGCCCAAGGCTACCTCCGGGGTTTCCCCCTGGCCTCCACCTCCTGCACTAATTGCTCCATTAAACAAGATAGAGAGCACTCAAACCCCAAAAAAACACCCCTCTCGTAAAAAAAACCCAAACCAAGGAAAATCGCCTGATCTAAAAGGGAAAGTCGGGATTAGGCAGTGGGGGCAAGTCCCAGATAGCATGACCTGGGGCGGGG